CTTGGTTCCTGTTCCTTATCTGCTTCCGAGAACCACGATCCCTGAACATCCTCTCATCCCGACCTGGCAGGACCTCTGGAGCCTCTTGCAGGAGCCAGAGCAAATACCACCGAATGTTTTGGGGTTTTGGATCCCTTCCTGATGGAAAATATTTCACATTTTGTTCGTTTTGCACACGAGGAGCTCCTGGGCCCCGAAGCATCAGAGTGCCCTGGAGAGCACGAACCCATCCCACCTTCCCAGACACCCCATGGAGCAGCTGAGGGATGGAGACACCCCACTCCCTTAGAATCAGGCTCATGGTGACACCCAGATGTGCTCCAGCACTGCAAGGAGGGAGATGAGGATGGAAGACCTTCAGGCCAGGAAGAGGAACATCATCTCTAACATCAGCTCCTTGCCCAGGTCTCCAGCACAGGACCTTGCAGGGATTTGTTTCATTTACTGGAACGGCTCCACAGCCGTGTTTATGCTCCAGTGACTCTGGCCATCAGCTGCCTAAAATTCTTTAGCCCCAAAAAAGCATTTATTTGGGTAAATATCCACATATATCCATATTCCCATCCGGATGTTTCTGGATTCCTAAGGGTAAGCTGGGTTGGGAAACAGTCCCATAGCACAGGTTCACGGACAGGGAGGAGGAAGAAGATCCCAAGAGGCCCCCTGGTCCCTGGCAGGGCTCTCTGGGAGCACCAGAGCCCCCCCAGCCCGAGGGCTGCAGCATCAGCATCACCCTTTTAACGGGATGCAAAATTCCATCTGGCAAAAGCACACGGTCCTTGCAGCAAACAGAGCTCAGAGCCAGCGGAGAGAGGGACCACAACTGACCCCAAAACTCCTGCACATGGAAACAGCAGCTCAGCTTGAGGATGACACCCAGCCCCAGACACCAGCACAGGCACCACGGGTTTGATTCCTGAATTCCAGGAGCATCCACGTGCATTAATTCTGTGTTTTCCTGCTGCCTCGAGCCTGGCTGTCACCCATGCTGGAACAGATCCCACAGAAATGGGGGTGCAGGGAATTTCATGGGCTTTGGAGCTGCCCTGCTCACCACAGCATCCAGCTGTGCTGCTGGAGAGCCCCGAGGGGCTCTGCCAACATCTGGGCAGGGTCCCCCCCCCGTGGGGATCAGCCCTGGCAAGCAGCAAAAACCCCCTCGAAACCCAAAACTGGAGCAGGGCCCACCCAAGACTCATCTCACGTTCCTGATGGACACAGGCAGGGCTGAGCACTTCTGCAGACCAGGCTCTGATGGAAACTCCAGAAAACGGGATGGCCCCCACCCAAAAACCAGGTGGGTTTCCAGCAGTGCCGGAGTCCAAGGGGCTCCCAGGACCGAGGAACCTGCCTGGAGCAAAGCCCTGTGCACGGGAGGCAGATGGGCAGGAGCCAGGACAGCCCCCTCCGTGCACAACCCGACCAAAATATCCCGCTATCCCCTCCCAAAACTCTGCTTCTGGAAAGGAAAAGGGTTTCTGGGCTCTGCTTCCCTCAGCACCACCACGAGCAAACCTCGGTCTCCCCTGGAGCCACAGCACTTCCCACCCCAAAGTGGGGGTCAGATGGAGCAGGAGGAGACAGGCAGGGTGTTGGGAGGGTTGTTTTGGATTCCCCCCTGCCCAGAGCTCACTCACCATTTCTGGCCCCCGATGTCGTGCTGCTGCACCGTGTAGCCAAAATAGGCTTCCCTGGAGCCAGCGATGATTTTGGGCCTCTTGGTGTCGATGTTGAAGGTGTCACTGAGCCCTGGGAGAGAGGAGAAGGGTCCTGTCAGCCAAGGGCTGGGGTGGGAGCAGAAAACACACCCTGGCTGTGGCCACACACTGACCAGGTCACCCCGAGGGGTCTCCACCCACAGAGATGTTCAAATTCTGGGACACAGCCCTGGCAGCCTGGAGCAGGTGACCTTTCAGAGGTGCCTCCAACCCCAGCCACCCCTGCTCCCCCAGGTCATATAACACACCCCAAGATGGTCCTGCATGAGCCAGGGGTGCTTTGACCCCCTGTGGCACAGCACTCCCACACCACCACGAGGGTTGAAAGACCCAAAGCACCTCAGACACCTCACCTGGGACCACCCAGCACTCCTCTGCCCATCCCTGAGCCCCCAGGGGAGCTTCCAGCCCCAGGGCTGTAGCTTTAAGCAGGATCATTCAGGGTTTAGAGGCCACAGCTGCACAAGCCCTTCCCCTCCCACCTGCAAAGCTCATCCACCAGCTCATCCTGATGTAGAACGGGATCAGCTGGAGCCAGGGTGGGCATGGGGAGGAGAAAGGAAAGCATCTTCCTCCTCTCTGACACATCCTGGCTCTTCATTCCCACTTGGACTAAAGTTGCTGCTGGATGATTCATGCAAATAAAAGATCCTTCTTAAGAAGGGCTGCAACAGCATCAGAAGGCTCGTGGCTGCTATTTACAGGGGCATCAAGGAGCTGGCAACAGGAGAGGTTGGGAATGCTGCTCCCAGGCTGAAAAATCCAGGATGGAGAGTGTTTTGCTGGGTAGGAATGTCAGGGATAAAGCTGATTTTTGCAGGCACAGGAACAGATCTGCAGCTCTGGCTCCATGAGGAGGGAGCGGAGCAGCCTGGCCAGGGAGGGCTGAGGTGAAGCAGCAAATCAGAATTTCTTTCTGATCCTACAAAAAGAAACTCTAGAAAGCAAGAATCAAAAAAAACCCAAAAATATATAAAAGAAAAAAGGAGACAGGCATGAGAGCCAGCATATTTTGTGGTGCCTTGACCTCATTTAACACTACAAAACAAATTAAAATCTCTTCTGAGTAACTGATACCCGAGGGAGAAACACAGAGCGGGACAGGGCAGGAGAGGAGCGATGGGCAAGGGGGGTTGGAGCACCCTGGGCTGTCACTGCTGCCACCAGAGAGACCCTGGATCTGGCTGGCAAATCCATGGGAAGAGGGGGGATTTTTAGGGAGGGGGTTTTGTGCTTCCAGCAGGTTCAGTTCCAGGGTGCAGAGCGAGTGTCAGAGAGGATGTGATGGGTTTCCATCTGATTTATTTTTGCATTAATCAGAGTTTCTCTGATTTTGCACTGCAGAGGGTTTTGGGGAGTGGGAGCACAGGGATAAGTTGGGGAATCCCATCCCATGGCTCCTTGGTTTAGGACCACATCGTGGAGCTGCAGTAAGAGGCAGCCAGGTCATGGAAAACAACACAAACCCTCAAATAAACAGCAGAAATATTCCATGAAGTGGGAAATCTCTGAGCTGGGGGGAGAGCTGCGAGGGACACCCCTGTCACAGCAGGCAGTGGGGAAGGGGACAGGGCTGGAAAAGCAGAAAGATCTGGGAGCAAAAGTCTCCAGGCTGGCAGAGGGGAGGAATGTCCAAACCCCGACGGACGTGGGTGCACTCGAGGCACAAAGAACCAAAACAAAGAGCAGAGAATGTTTGATCTGGCTCCAGCTCCTGGGAGCTCGAGCAGGGGCTCTCAAGGACATTCAGCAACCCCAACGAGCCCAGGCTCATTTTCTTGTCAGGAGTGACATCACTGTCAGAAAGAAGTGACCAAAAGCCACATGTTTTGCTTGTGAGGCGGCCAAGGCAGGAAGCCTCAAATTCCTCCTTTCTCCGAACTCGGAGCTTCTGTCGGGTCCAAACTTTTGATTCTTGTCAGGTCGAATATCGAAAAGAGAAGAAAATCAGACGCATTGGGGAAACAATGATGGGAATAAAAGCCACCTTTGCTGCCAGAAAGGATAAAAATAAGTCCTCCCTGTAGGGGAAACCTCTGGGAGGGGGATGGTCGGTCCCGGTGCCATCGTCCTGCCTGGATCCTTTGGGAAGGCAGCGGGATCCACGGCTGGAAAGGAGAATCTGGAAAGGAGACTTTGGAAAGGGGACTCTGGAAAGGTGCCTGGCAGCACTGTGGTGCCCTGAGCCTGTTTTCACTTCCATGAGAAGTTTAAGGCTCTATTTTGCTTCCTTTGCTCCGGAGCTCTCTGATTCCAGGAGCTGCGAGCCAGGCACTGGAGCTGCCGGAAGAGTTTCCCTGTTTTTATTTGACTGGGAGGGAAATGCAGGCAGTGTTTTTAACTGAATCATGCAAATCCAGCCTTTTTCATTCACCTCCAGCACTGTCACAGCTCTCCAGAGGGAGAGCTCCCATCTGCCAGGAACCTGCAGCTCTGGCTGCCACCTCAAAACTGGCCCTGCTGCTCTCAGTCCCATCTCCTCTCCTCACTCGAGCCCAGAAGGAGTGGGCAGCGGGTCCATGGATGTGATCCCTGCATCCTCAGCATCCCTGGGGATGCCACTGCTGACCCACCACTGGGCTGGGCTCCTGTGATTCCTCCCCATCCCCATCCTCATCCCCATCCCCATCCCCATCATCACATGGGATGCTCCTTTGCATCCCATCACTTGTTCTTTTCCTAGGACTGAAATATTTGACAGACCAAGGAAATCTTTCAGCTTGATAAAGGATACTGAGGCAAAAGCTGCGAGAAGGGGCAGAAGGGGTCACATGTCCCGGTGCTTCCCTCTGGCTTTAATTCCCAGGAATCCCTCTGTGCCAGATGAGATGCTGACAGCACCCAGCTCCTCTCCATGTGCCTATCTCAAAGCCAGCATTTGTCATCAGCTATTAGGAAGCAGCCCAGGCTTTTGGTGGCTGCTGCAGCAGGGGATGGGGAGCCAGGGAATGCTGAGGATGAACAGAGGGATCAGTCATTCCCGGCTCGTGTGTCGTAACATTCCTGCTCAGCCACAGAACCCCTGACAAACAGCTCCGGGGCTGCAGCTACACAAGCACCTTGTGCTTCCAGAATTCCTGCTTTCTGGGCCCCCCAAAAGTGGGGAGGAGCTGTTTGATGGCCACGTTTTGCAGCCCTGAGGAAGGTGGGGATTGTTCATTTGTGATAACGCCAATCAGGAGTAAATAGCGGCAGGTCTTCCACTGCCCCTTTCCCAGGAAAATGCCAGGAAAGTCATGGATTAGGGGAAGGTTTGGCTTCTCAAATAAACACCTGGGGGAGGATATTTATTGGATCTTTCCAGGCCAAGCCTTGGCCAGTGGATGGACAATGGGGAGAGGGGGGTCCCACTCAGCTGCACTGCTGGGGCTGTGCAGTCACCCAAAATTGTCTCCACCATCAGAGCCTGGGCTGGAGGGTCCTCAGGAACCCACCTGGCCAATCCCAAAGGTGCCACGTGGAGCCAGCACGATGGTTTTGCCGTTTGGGAGAGGGCAGGATGGCACTGCCTTCTCTGGGAATCCCACCTGGAGAGGGCAAACTGCTGCATGGTGGGACCCACAACACCTCAGCACAGCCTCCCTGGAGCCTTTGGGAAGTCCTTCCCCACCAACACCCCCTTTGGGTGCCCAGCAGGACACCACTGTGGGCACAAACCCCCGTGGGCTGAAACCCCCGTGGGCAGAAACCCCTGGGTACCAAAACCACCATGGGCAGAAACACTCCAGGATGGAAACATCCATGGGCAGAAACCCCTGGATACAGAAACCCCCCGTGGGCAAATCCAGTGCCAGACAGGATTCCCACCCAGCCCAGGGCAGGGCAGAGCTGCCCGTGTGCCACAAACCCGAGTTCCTTCTACAGAGCCCACCCTTTGTGTCCGAGCAGCGTCTCCCCGGGAGGGGGTTTCACCCCACGGGCCGCGTCCCCGCCGTGGGCAGGGCAGGGCAGGGCTGTGCCCTCCACGCAGGCAGCCCCACGCTGGCCACAGGCAGGGCACACATGGTCCCCATTAACCGAGCAAAGCAGCTCCGCCGCCGCCGCTTGAAAGGATCCGCCACCAGAGAGGGGAAAAAAAAAGCAAAGCAGCCATAAAAAAAGAAAAAAAAAAAAGAAATCCAACCAGCCTGGCGTGCGTTTCCACCAGGATGTTTGGGAATGCCTGGCTGGGGGAGGCGTGAGTCCGTGGCCGCGCTCCTGGTTTGGGGAAAGGCTTTTTTTCCCCCCACACTTTCAGCCCAGTTTGGCAGCTCCGAGCCCGGCTGCGGGCGGGAGGATGGTAGATGGGATTGAAACGGGAATTACCGGTGCTGGGACACTCTTCTGCAAGAAGAGAGCCCGAGCGAGGCGGCAAGGAGCATAAAAATCCATCCCCGCTCCCATCCCAGCCCCCGGCAGCTCGTCCCGCACGGGATAAGCTGCAGGCTCAGCTCCTGGAGCCCAACCCTGCCTAAAACCCCTCTGAATTTATTTAAACCCGAGTCTTTTGTGCAGCAGGACGCGAACCACCTGTGGGGCACAACGATAGTTCTAAATAAAAGGGTCGTTAGTTTGGCGCGTTTTCTTCCCCCTCCACCATCTGATGCTTCAGGAAAACACCAATTAATCCTGTTCCTCCAGCCGAGGAGGGGGGTCCCATCAAGGATCTCCATCCCTCCCAAGCAGCCTCCTCAAAGGCTCCCACCTCCCTCCCTCCCGGCAAAACTTTTCCAAGAGCCTCGTTAACCTTGGGCTTTCTCCAGCACCTTCCCCAAAAGTCAGCAAAAGTTATTCCCGGTGGGTTTCGCCCCGTTTGAGGAATCGGGGTGGGCGCAGGGGGCACTTACCGGGCAGGAGGCAGAGGGAGCAGGCGAGGAGCATCCCGCTGGGAAGGGCCATGGGAGCTGCCCCGCTCCCCGCGCCGGAGCATCCGCGGGGGCAGCCGGCCAGACTGGTAGCGCCTCTATCCCAGAGCCCTTTCCTTATCCCAGCCTTTCCCGGCTCCCTGACAGGAGGCGAGCATCGGGAGGGAGTGGGAGGGACGAGAGAAACTTGGAGGAGGTGCAGCAGGAGCGGACGGAGCGGGGACAGCCCTCGCACGGCCCGGCACCCTTTAGGGAACGGCTTCCTGGAGAGCTGTGCCAGCCGGGAATTCCATCCTCAGGGCAGCTTCTGGGGCCTCCTGGGAACCCCTCAGCCCGGGAGGGGGGGGTGGGGATGGAATGTCTTCAAGGGGTCACTGGTGGTTGTGGGGTGTCACCTCTGCTGAGCATCACCTTCACTCAGGTGCCACCCCCAGCTGGACACCAGCCCTGCTCAGGTGCCACTCCTGGGGTGGAAAAGAGTGGCACCAGTGCCCACAGCACCCAGGAGGCGACTGTGATGCCAGAGGGCACCACAAAGCTCTGGGATAACTGGTCACACCATGAGAGTCTCCTGCACCCACCCAGGCACCAAGTCCTGGTGGGCAGGAGAGCCCAGCGGGAAAACCACAGCAAAGGAGCAGGGGAAGAACTGCTGGGGAGTGTTTCCTTCCCTGCCCTCTCCACACAGGTCCAGGATCAGTGTCCCCACAAGAGCCACCCCTGGGCACCTCTGGGCTGGGCACCCCAAACCCATGAAGTCCCTCAGCACCCCAGGGTGGCACTTTCTCCCTCCACCCTCTCCCTCCCCGGGCTGGTGGCACCTTTTGGAGGTGACTGCCAGGAGGCAGCTCCAGCTCAGCTCTCACCCTGGTTTTGTGGCCAGCTGGGGTGGCTCCAGTGGGGAGGGGGGACCAGCCACATCCTCACTTCCATTTTTTCCCAAGAGGAAAAGATCAGTCCAGGCTTTGGTTTGATCAAACCAGCAGATGTGACCCAGGAGGTCCTTCCCTGTCCAATCCATCGCCAACACTTGTGAGCAGGAGCATCTCCACATTCAGCCCTGATGGAGCTCGCTGGGAAGAGCAATCGAAGCTCCTTGAAGGAGCTTTATCCCTTTTCCCACCCAGCTGAGAGCAAAGATATTTTGGGATGAGTCCAAACACCAACATCTCTGTCTACCGAGTGTCTGTCAGACAGTTTGGGGGCTGCAGGAGGGAGATAAGCTCTGCTCAAACACTCTTGCCTGAAAGACCGTCTGGGAGATCCAGTTTCTTTTCATTCTTCCCTCTTCCCTCCCAAAAATACACATTTGAGGTCTGCAGGAGGGAGAGGACACATGGCTGGGACACAGATCAAAGGCAGCAGGAGGATCCAAAGGGGTGTGGAGATGGGGATGCTCCTCAGCTTGTTTGTGCAGCGCTCCTTCCACCAGCAAAGCGCTGCCTGACAGAGATTTGCAGCCCCCAACTGCATTTCCCAGCTGGTTTCCCCCTATAAAACTCCGGAGCAAAAAGCATTTCAGGGGGGGCAGCAACAACTTAAAGGGAACGAGAGGCATTGCTGGGCTGGTGAAAGTCAGTTTTTCAGGGAATAAAACGCTCAGACAGGAAGCTGAGCTGTGATTTAAAGCAGAGTAAGCAGAGCACAGAGGGAGGGATCCCCGAGCAGTGGATGCTCCCAGCAGAAGTCCCAGCCCTGCAGCTCCTGCTCCCAACCCCGGGGCACGTCGGGGGAAATCCCTTGCTGGGAACTCAGCTCTCCCAGGCAGCTGGAAGACAAGCCAGTCTTCCACGAAAAAATAAATACGTTTTAAATAGAATACAAAAAAAAACCCCCTATGTAATATCTTAAAATCTGCCTCTCAGTTCCCAGAGGGGTCGTTTGGAAGCAGCTGGATCAAAGGGATTTTGGGGGGAAAACAGCACCAGAAAAAGGGTCCTGGGCCTGGTGTTGTGCTTCCCTTGGGGTCTCAAGCACAGCATTTCCCAAGTTAAAACACTCCATGGAAAACCAAGAGGCAGCAGCTGCTCCTGCCTCCAACTGCCTGGCCTGGAAACCAGCGGAAAGTTGGATTTGCTGGGATCTGCTGTCCCACTCCTGCCAAAGGACTGGCCCCAGGAGGTTTCTCTGCACCAACCATAGTTCCTGCACAGCAAAGCAGAAGGAAAAACCCCGGGGGATTCTCTGGGGTCACGAGTGATGGGAAGTAAAAAGGGTCTGAGAGACGCCTGTAACGGTCACAAAACAATTTGCAAATCCCTGGGGGAGGATTCATCCAAATTGGACCTGACTGGGATGAACTGCACTGAATTTCTGCAGAACTGGTTTCAAATAAGAAGTCACTCAAGTGGCTGCATCTCCCCTCAGCCTCCTCCTCCTCCTGTGCTGAGTTATCAGAGCTCACCCTTGGACATCTTAACATGACCCAGCCCTTGGCACGAGTGAGAAGTGCCAGGCAGGAGTTCAAAGGAGAAGAGCTGTGCTCTGATAATATTGATGTAATCCTTCCAAAATGTAAACAGCTGTCAGGGGAGAGTGATGGATGGGGAAACAAGAACCCAAGGAAACGGGAGGATTTCAGCCCCTTGCAGGAAGTTTCCATGGGGACATCCCCTGAGCTCCTCCGTGGGCTCCTCGCTGGCCAAAAAAGCCAGGGAAGAGAATTTTCATGGATCCATCATGTGATATTAATCCTGTAAAAAGGAAAAAAAAAGACATGCCTTCCCACTTCATTTGTCTTTGGATCCTGCTTGGATTTCAGGGCTGTTCCATCCAGCCCAGGAACCTCTTTCCAAAATCTCTCTGGCGTGAAGGAGAGACCCACACGTGCTGCCATGGGGTGAGCCCCAAACCCAGCTGAAGGAGGGGTGTTTTGGGGTGGTTTTAGGGTTTTTGGGGGGTTTATTCTGGTTTTATCCCCTCTCCCAGCTGCAGTGAAGGCAGCAGAAGAGGGGGTGGTTTCCACATGAGCACCGTGAGGGACAAGCACCAGTTGCTTCCTCAGGGGACCAACACCTATCAGCCATCTCCAGCAGAGCCCAGCACAGCTCCAAACAAACTGCCAGAGCCTTGGAAGTGCAGCAGGAAAAGATTTGCTGGGAGCTCTCCCTGGGATCTGAGCTAGACCCACTGGAGCTGGTCTAGTGGACGGTGTCCCTGCTCATGGTGGGGTTGGAAGGAGATGGTTTTGGGGTCCCTTCCAACTCAAGCCATTCTGGGATTCCATGGATTTCTCTGTGCTGGGTTTTGCTGGGGGTAGGGGGAGGCTCAGAGCCAGGATTTTGGGCTTGGCAGGTGCTTGCAGGATCCATCCCCACCAGGGAATGGTGTGTCCCACCAAAACCAACCCAGTGAGAGCAGCACCAAACCCTCAGGGCCCTCCACCAGCCAGGAATAAACTAATGGAGAAAGTGAGACACAAACCAGTCTTCTCCTGCAAAGAGGGCAAAGCAGCAGCTTCTGGAGGGGAACAGCAGCTCTCAGCTTCCAACCCCCACAAATTCTGGCTGCCCAGGAAACTTTCTGCTCTCGTGGCTCAGATGTCTGAAGTCTGTGATTAAAAAAAAAAAAACACCTGTTATTTTCTCTGCAAACCTGAGAGTTTCCAAGGAAAGTGTCGGTGCAAACTGAGGCTCCTGCACCTTGGAGATGATCCACGCTCTGTGTGCAGCCCCACAGGGCCTGATCCACCCCATCCCTCCAGCAGGACAAACACCCAGAGCTGAGCTCTGCACCTGAGCCCTGGGAAAGGCTTTTACCTCCCCAAGCACCAGCATTTCCTGCAAATCCCATCACAAGCAGGGGGGAAAAAGCAAGGGGAAAACAGGCAGGGACGGTTCTGACAAAGGGCAGCAAGTTCAGCTGGCTGCAGAAATAATCATGGAATTAACAGCCATTCCCAAAGGGAAGATCTCGTGTCTTCCACATTAACATCCTTGGATGGACTTCCCATGAAATCTGGAGGAGGAGAAAGCTGCACTGGCCACGTCCTTGCAGCTGGTGTGGGGGTGACCCTGGGCTAAAGATGGACCAGCACCGAGCCTCTGTCCATCACTGAGGTGGAAAAGCCTGGCAGTAACTGTAAATTAGAGTCACAAAACCCTGGAATGGTTTGGGCTGGGAGGGATTTTAAAGACCTCCTTCCAACCCCCCCCCCCCCCCCCCCCCCCCCCCCCCCCCCCCCCCCCCCCCCCCCCCCCCCCCCCCACGAGCAGGGTTGGCACCCACTAGAACCTCCTTCCCTGCATCCAAATCCCACCCCAAAGCCTCTGAACCCCACACGAACCTCGTGCCACTGACTCCCAATCTCCATCCCCAGGTCAGCCCAGCACTTCCCTGTAGGTTTTCCCACGTCTGCTCAGTTTTTCCAACCTCCAGCAGATGCCTCCTCCAGCCTGACCTTTGGGAGGGTGTCATGTGTTGGATGCTTTCGCCTCTGGAGTTTTTGGAAGAATTAAGTTAGAAACAAGGAATGTAAACAGAGGCTGGAAATGAAAACAAAATCCTGAATTCCCTGATAGAAACAGAGGAAGGGCTGATGGTGATGTGGGAGCTGCTCCTGGCTGTGGAGGGGCTGGGGTGCTCCCAGGGGGCTTCTCCCAGGTTTTAGGGAAGGAGGGATGCAGGTTGGGCGCTCAGGAGCACCAAACACCGCTCACATCCTGGGTCTGGGTGAGGATTTGTCACCCCTGGTGATGGGGAGCAGCTCCAAGCTGTTTCCTGGAGCACGTGGCTCATCCTCACTCCTGGCCATGCCGGCTCTGCTGAGCTCAGAGCTCTGGAGACTCGGCTGTCCAAAACAAAAGCTGCTGTAAACACCAAAGCAGGCTCTGCAGAGCCCCAGCTCTGCCCCCGTCAGGACACGTCACGTCTGCCCGAGCCTGCAGTGACCCCGAGTGCCCCATCAGGGATGCTCCAGGGTTATTTCCGTGCCCTGGGATTCTCCCAGCACTTGGCACCAGAGCAAAGTGCCAGCTGGGATCGCTCTGGGTCCAGGGAAGCAGCGGGAGAACAGAAAAGGGAGGTTAAAAAAATCACAGAATCCCACATTGGTTCAGGCTGGAAGAGACCTTAAAGATCATTAATTCCATTCCAGGGACACCTTCCCCTCCATGGAGGGTGCTCAATCAGCACCCAGGGA